CCCCATGCCCATATAAAACAGAAAACAAGGTATTCATTTAAAAGTATCACACATGCATACAACCTCTTTTTCTCTCTCTTTTCCCCAGTGAAAGTTGTCCTAGATCCTTCCTATCTGTAAACCAGTACATGCCTGCTAGTGCTTTCATAGCCTGACAGCCCAGGAAGTTGCAAGGCAAGAGGAGTCTGGGTGAAGAGATTTACTCTCAGATATAATGCCTTAGCTGAAACAAACTTGATGATCCTTGAGGTCTCTTCCAACCTTAATGATTCTATGAAATGTAAAAGATAAACAAGCACATCAAGACAGACACATGTATTTCCTCCTCCACGTTCCTCTCTCCTAGCCCCTTAGTTTAGAAGTCTTTCTCAGTACTGAATTGCAGCAGCTGTGAAAGTTGGTGAAAATGTTTAATACAAGAGTTCCAACAACATGTCAATGGCTCATGGTTTCTGCTTGCTCCTCATTAGTACTACTGTCAAGTAACAGCCAGCGCTTGACCAAAATCAGCTAATGGAATATGCTGGCTGATGCCAAACCAGAGCAGTTGGATGGAAACACTTTGAAGAGGTGCACCATCATCACAGATTTATTTTCACATGAACTGTCACATAACTGAACACACAAGGAATGTTTTCTGCTACCTCCAGGTGGTTAGGAGACTCCAGGCCCAGTCTGACAGAAAATGATTTGGCTTTAGGAATACACATGATCATCACATTACACAGGCATGAAGTAATCAACCTAAAGAAAACGAACTAGTATAGGATGTGGCAGCACAGAACCTCAAGCAGAAACACATTTGCTCCTCAGTCTACTGTCTATAACCAGTCAAATATATCTCTGTCCCTGTCATCAAGGTTCTCAGTGACCTCCACCCAAGAAACAACTTTCTTTAGATCTAAACATTTCCTCAAACATCACCTTTTTTTTTTTTTCTTAAAAAAAACCCCAAATGCAACCCTCTCCCTTGCTTCTTTCACCTAACCATCCATATGAAACACATACAACACAAGGAACAGAAAATGCATGCCGAGAAAAATGCATTGTTCCCTCTCCCATAAGAAAAAAAGGTCACTTTTCTAACTCTGATAACTTCAAATTATTGCCTTGCTTGGAGAAGGAAAGGACACCAGGAGAAATCCCCCAGTATGTATCCTAGAAGGACTTAAAACACAACAGGGAGAACAATATCTTTAAACGATCAGAAAAATAACATAATTTTCACATGGAAGGTTGGTAACACACAACTTGAAACCAGGAAAAAAGTATTAATAGATCTAATGTTGTACTTACTAAACTGTGGACAGTTAAGAACCTAATTAAGATCACAGCTTTAGCGAAAGCAGAAGCCCTTTTTTCTTATACACCTCTAGCTTAATTTTACTTTTACCTTTCCCAACCCTCAGCATCACTTATCTGAAGAAAAATCTTTGGCTATGTAAGTCAGACCAGCTGGCTAACCCAATTAGCTGGGCAGTGAGGGTAAGAAGCTTGGAGCAAGAGGGCAGAACTGCCCCTCCTGCTGGAATCACAATTGTTAGTGGCTTTTTTCACACCACCTGAGCTGATTTAATGGCAAAATGGGAAAGGCTAGCCCCTTGTTTCCTCTGCTGTTCTCTTCTCTGTCACTGCTGCCCTACTTTTCTCTCATTTCTTTTGTATTTTCCTTCTAGTTTTCACCCAGAAGGCCTTCTTCCCATGCAGGAGGAATTGTCTGATAATTGTCAGACCTTCTTATGTGCCAAATGCAATCATCTGCAGTTTTAATCACTTTTTTTTTTTTTTTTTTTTTTTTTTGCTAGAGTACCCTGCAAATAGTACTGCAGGGATATTAAATTCTGAAATCTTATCTATTGGTTGTAAAATATTAATGAGAAAGATGAACACATGAAACAGAGTCACAGAAAAAAACCCAAAATTTATAGAAAGGAGTCACATACTTTTTCACTAGTGATTCAACATGCTGTTGACAAAATCAGTCTTGCACTTACCTGCTGCAACGGGCACCATTAACTTAAGAATGCTGGGACAGAATTATCTGTTAAATTCTAGACACACTGAGTACTGCCATCATGCCTCTTGCAGTTCATTTTTATTCATCCCTAAGTAATATCCTAAAAGACGTAATTTATAGACCAAAAAAAAAATAAGTCAAAAGAAATTATTTTACATTATGTCATGCATTCATTCCTATTGCTCATGAATACTTAATTACAAATGAATTATTTGGTAACATACAAAGATGGTAATGTAAGGAGGACATTATTTAAGTATATTACAGATTATGAGTCCTTGAAATATAACATTAAAAAGATCAAAGTCAGCTAAATCTAGGTGTATGTTAGAGATGGAATATTTACAATTGTAAGTGAATTTCAAAGTGAAACAGAGCAAAGGAAGTTGAAAAGCAGGCAGAGAAAAACTACTCGGACATAAAAAATTGCTTATGAGATCTATGTTTATGGGCCTCACAAGGTGTTCAAGTTATCTACACTATTACACTACAAAGGATAGATAACCTGTTTGAATGCTGAACAAAACAATTTTTGGGACAAATTCTAGAACTAATTTCTGAGAAAAAAACTTTTTTAAATTTATTTATTTATCATGCTTTCTGGTATTGCTGGTTCAAAATGATCAGGTCAATACTGAGCTAAAACATTAATATTTGAAGACTCCTCAACACAGATTCACAAATCTCTTGCAGTCTGCCGTTGCTCAGAGTTTTTTTATCATAAATCCCATTACAATATTACTACACATAAGAATATTCCTACCATTATCCAGAAATTGTATAATGCATTGAGAGCAGAAGTGGATCATTTATATCAAAAACAGGGACCCTCTGAAGTTCATCACAAACATTCAGACTAGATATAAGGGAGAAATTTTTTACAATGAGGGTGGTGAAACACTGGAACAGGTTGCGCAGAAAGGTGGCAGATGCCCTGTCCCTGGAAACATTCAAGTCCAGGTTGGATGGGGCTCTGAACAACCTGATCTAGTTGAAGATGTCCCTGCTCTTCGCAGGGGAGTTGGACTAGACGACCTTCAAAGGTCCCGTCCAACCCAAACTATCTTATTATTCTATGATTACACACAAAAGCCATTAATATTACAAACTTGTTGATTTATGATAAAATGTAAGTCTCTAGTGTTGACATATTTGCATTACTCAGAAGCATTATCTATTCTGGTCTCACTGAGAACAAACGATTTGGAAGACACCTATTCTTTCAGTATTTTCAAAGAAAAAAATGTGACCAAGTTACTCCTGTTTCTTCTTAAAAATGGACAACATAGTGTCAAACAAGGGACAAAAAAAAAGAGTGACAAGTATAATATAAAGGATAAAAGGAAAAACATTAGACAGAAGATAGGATAGGGAAGTACAATAGGGAAGAACTCAAGATGGCAATAAAGTTGAAATTTTGATGGCAGATACATGTAAAGAACAGAGTAAGAACCATTTAATTTTATTTTCTTCATGAAAGACTAGGAAGCTGTATAGTTCCCTACAAACAAAATACAAATAACAATCTGATAATTTTACTTGTACTCATTTCTTAGTAAGAGACACTTTTGCATGTGCACACACACAGCTCAGCAAGGCAAGTAAGTGAATTTTTTTTTTTAAATTGAGAGTGTATATTTTGACGTATAATTGTCCCCAAATTCAGTTTGAATACCCAAATAATTCAAGTCTGAGAGCTACATCTCAAGAGCTTTAAAATTAATTGCCAAATTTTAGAATTCTTCACTTCAAGCCAATCTACTGTAGTAGATTACTCAGGAAATAATAAAAACATTTTCCAAATGATACTTAAGCAAGTGAAATTCTTACAATATCTGCTGAGTTTTGGCAGATTCTGATCAAAGGAATTCAAGAACTGTTTGATTTATACACCAAAGCTTTGACAATGTAACAATATGGGAAAAAATCAAAACAATTCTTGATAGTGGCATTTATCTAGTTTTAAATATTGTCCAATAGTTACTCTTTCCTATCCCAGGTCACAAGACAAAAGAAAAAAAAAAACCCACAGTAGCATAAGATATTTTTCCATTCTCCTATTGCCGGATCTTTTAGAAAAGCTGGAGAATAAGCACCACTAGCAGAAGCCTCCAATTAGGAAAGTTGCTATAAATTTTGCAGATGTTTCAAGTCAAAGGAAACATTTTGAGCCTGGTTTGAGTCTCAATCCCTACTGTTTTACTTCATTTTTTCTGGTTTTAAGCCAGAAGGTAACTTTCTGATAACAATTCTACTGGTCTAGCAACCCGTTCATAACATTGCTGGTAAGTGTCTTTGCTGGTAACCAGCACTATGTAGCTTGGGAATGTCACTCACATCAGAATCATATTAATGATTCAGTGTTATTTAACTCAGATAATATTAAAAGAGTTATTATGAAATACCAACTGTACTGAAGAAAGCAAAAAGTAGATTAAAAAGCAAAAGTCACAAACAAGCTAAAAAGAAGTCCTAAGCACACAAAAGCAACCTACTTAACCAGAAAAAAAGGACTATTTAGGCCAGTATCCTATCTTTGTCAATGGCTAAAAGTCTCTTTCTGAGGTACAACATAAATACAGAACAAAATATTTTATATTTAAGGCTCTTCCAGCCTCCAAGCATTTTGAGATTTGTCCGATGAAAGGTGAGTTAATAAATTCAAATTCAGTAACACATTTCTATTATTCACTTCAAAGCCTATGGCCACTAATGTATTATTTTTGCAAGAAATGGCAAATATACACTTTCCTGACTTTTTTCAATAAAAATTGGCATCTCCATAGCAAAATCCAATAATTTTCTTACAAGTGAATCATGAAAAGCGAGAAATAAGGAGCTAAGAAAAAAAATCCATAATCTACTCAAATAGTATAATAAAAAAACAAGGAATTAAAATATAAATGTTTAGTGTTTCTGCTTTTTTAAAAAAGATAAAAAACCTAGAGTCACCAGCACAGACATTTCAAAATAAATGTCTTACCTCATATGCATAGCCCAAGGAAGAAAACTGACTCTTTAAGTAGCAAAGTTTGTACACACTGAAGACTGAGCAGTGGATGATTGCCAAAATTCCTGCTTTGGGCCTAGAAATGGGAAGTAATTCAGATTAATGTTCAATCTTTTCTTCTTTGTTAACTCCAGAGAAAAAGAGAATGTAGAAATAGTCTGTGATGTGCTCCACTTACACCAAGTCATCTTTCTTAACCCTGTAGTTAAGTTTTTATAGTATACACCTTACATGGACTTACAACACTGAATTTACTGGAGGTGAGAATACACATACTCACAAACTATATATGAGCTCCTACAAATGTAGCTGCATATATAGCTATTGTCTTTTGATCTCAAAAATGACAACAACAAAATTCTGAATAGTGCTCCACGAGTAGTTCAGAATCTTTTCCATGGGTCTATTTCTCTAAATTTTTACTAATATACATTATTAACTCCCTGAGTTATACACATCTCTGGCATATTGACAGATTTTTATCTATCCTGAAATGAACTGTTCTGTCTGCACAAGTGAAAGGTGTTCCTTTCTGAAAACATAATGAACAGCAGGTGCAAAGTGGCACTGGCACCTTAATCTCAAAGGAAGCTCCTATTCCACATTTCTGCTCTGGCAGAGCATATATTCTCTTTGTAAGAAACTGTAGCTGTCATTTACTATTCTGTAGGGTCACAGTGCCCGTATGGACTACTTCTATAGTGTACATCTCACTGGGATGGAGTATTCAAGATCCAATTTGATTTGAATCTGTACTGATTAAATTTAGTCTTTCACTTGATTTTGGGAATACTCTGAGCTACACTGTGTACTTTTCATATACCATCACTGAATCTGACACCTACGGCATGCTACACAGGACAGACACAACATGGTGCTGTCTGAGCTTGAGCAGCACTGGGAGAGCCTGCAGGTCTCACTGGCCTGCCAGTGTCCCAGACTCAGAGATGCAGACCCAAGAAATGCAAGCACAGAGGGTGACATGCCTAGTCCACCCCATAACTTTTCTGTAAGTGACAATATAGATATAGCCAGTAATTGCTATGGGAACAACTCCTGGGTCTAGGTGCTGGCTAGCTGTGTATTATTTTCCAGTCAACAGATAGCAACATATGTGTCCAAGTGTATCTATATTTCTCTATCAATATAATTTCTAACACACTTGAGATTTCCATATAATGACAAATAATGCATAATGAGAGAAGTAAAAAAACCAAGAGTGTTTTATATGTTACCTGTTCTCCATAAGTAGTCCAAAAGACTTCAGGGACAGAATGATAAAGCCAATTTGCAGGACAACAGTTCCCTATGATATAATCTGTTAAAAAGTAGACAAATAATTCATTTTGAGAGAAACTGAGTTTTAACAGAACAGTAGCTTCAACTTCCTCACTCAGTGATGTTAGTATCTGCTTTTAAAGTAATTTTTTACTTAAAATTTTACAACAAAAATAACTGGTCTGTCTGGATAGAACACTTATCTGGAGTAACCACCTTTACAGTTGTTTCCTGAATGCTGTATTTCCAAAATAATGTTTAAGTATTCCCTTCTGCACTACGCGTTTTCCCAAAGTTACTTGATTCCCTTATGCCTCCACCCAAGAGGGAACAAACTTATTTCTAGAAAAAAATCCCAGCAGCCCTGTTCTTTTTCTTCATCTTATGTTACCAGGTCTTTACAATAGTCATCTATGAATCCAAATGGTTACCAAAACCAATAAGAATTCACAGTGAGAGCAAGAATTCACATGACATGACAATATGACCAGATTTACGAAGAAACAAAATTAATGTTGTCTCTTCATGACAACTTGACACTTGGTTCCCAGTTCAGCAAAACTCTGCAACTCATATCATTAACTTCAATCAGACTTAAAACACTTTTAAACATTAACATGTGTGTTAGTACTTGGATGAACGGGAGCATGAGGATTTATGTCCTTAAAATTTGAATTGAAATTATATAAACAAAATTCAGGAAAGCAGAAATTATTTTCATTGTGAAGTTTGAGTTTTTTCTTTTCATTTATTAAATATTTTTTGTATTCTGCACAGCTGCCTTTGAAAATCAAATATTTAATCAGTTTTCTTGTTCCCTCCCTGACTTCCTTTCAAATATTGGTTTTGAATAGCCTTTGTTTTTTCATTTAAAAAACAACAAAAACCCCAAACCAAAAGTAGTGGATCTGGCTGAGTTATAGGAATCCTTTCTGGCTTCAATAGCAATAAGGTTTATGAACAACATCTTGCACTTCAGGATTGCAGGCACTGGAAAAATAAAAATCTATGAATGTCTGCCCTGATTTCAATGAATCCCACTCGGTGACATGCCCAACTTCCTCCAGTGGTGGCCTCTACCCCTTGAAGAGATCTAAGGTAAGTATCTGTGAGCGTGGGAGGCCACAGGAGGATATGCTCAAGTTTTACAGCTGTGTGAACTTACAGTGCCAATGTTTGCAAAACACATCAAACCACACACTCAGGCTGGGCAGGTTTCTGTTGTTTTACTGAAGAATCACAAGCACCTACTTAGATATCCTTAACAAACAGTTACTGCACAAAGAAAACACAACCCCAGCAATGAGCGAGCTAAACAGCAGCCTCACCACTTTACAAGCCAGAACACACTTCTCACAAATGACCCCTGTCAAGCCACTCTGTTGCCCAGATTTATATCAGGATAGATCAAACTCATTACTGCATTGCTACATTTCCAATCTGTTCCATCCCTCCTTATAAACTTACAAAACCTCAGACTGAGGTTATATATACTACTATATATAGACCTTGAGAAAGGATATTCTTTACACTTTTATTACACTCTTACTCTGGGCATCTGCCATCAACCATCACAGGAGACAGAATATTGAGCTAGATATTGAGGGGGACTCAGTATAGCAGTTATGTGTTGAGATTGTCATTTAAGTCAAGAAAGAAAAAAAATGCTCTAATGGGCTCTAATCTTTTATTAGGGTTTGTATCACTTGGAATACATTAGCAAATTCCAAATACAAGCTTTAAAATTTGTCAATAATAGATTAAACTGAGGGTGTTTTTTTTGAAAACTTCAATTTCTAGAATCCAAAAATCCCCCAGCTATCGTAAGTTTAAAAGATTTTCCATCGTTAACACAAAACAATTTTTTTTGAAGTGACTAGATTTTTGGAGAGAGCTTTTTTATGAAAATCAGGCACAGACTCTATTTAAGTTTAATAAAAGAAGTAATTCTTAAACTGCTCATCTAGCCACAGCAAGTTCAACTCCCACTTCAGCTTCCTGTAGAAACCGGGTCATACAAAAATTCAAGAAGTGAGCAAAGAAAAACATGATTTGGCACAGGCATAAGGGAACTCACCCATAAATTTCTTAGAAATGCTTTGATATGTTTTTCAATGATTGTTACTTGTCAAATAAAGGAGTTTGCCAGGGAACCAGGGATGGGATTCAAGACTTTCCTCCTCAGAGACTGTCCTCACTTTTAAGTTAGAGAATTACACTGTTTTTTAAACTTAGTCCTTCAGGCCAGGTGGGTCTGATTTTGCTTTGCATTTCCAGTGCAATGCACTAGCCTCTACAGACTACTTTAAAAATGTTCCCATAGCGGTAGGGCACTATTCTGAGAAAAGGAATGTAAGGTTTTCTATCCCCCTCAGGCAAGCAAGAGAACGGAACATCAAATCCAAATTTCAAGCAAGTCATGTAATTGCTACATTACAATATATGGCTAAGATCACACTTTATGGAAAACTAACTAACCTGCAATGTTTTTGAGACAACAAAAGTTAACATTTGTCTTCAGGAAGGATCCAGCAGTACCTGCTCTGAATGAATAAGGGTAACTCCAACTTCCAGTTTAAAGGAGCAGCACGATGTCATGTTTTTTTGCCCTTCCAGTGTTTCCGAGCTGGCTGGCATTAGACAACCAGTCACCAAGTCCTAGGCATCTGGGTTTCCCTGTGATTCCAGTTTCAGAAAACTGAAGTGCTGATTCATTCTACCTTCATTTAAGTACCTTAACTGAAGTGCCTAAAAACCTGTCATTAACCTAAACTTTTTCTGTAATCAAGTGGAGAGAGAGCACTTTCTGAATGGTTCTGTATTTCTTGCCATTAGCTAGACTGTAAGTCCAGAGGTTAAACTGGGTCCCTGCACTAAAAGCTGGATTTCAGTGGATGGTGGAAATATTTCTCCAAAACAGATGCTATTGGGTCAGATTTTAGTGGTGTTTTTTCTCATAACTTCTATCAATTCTTTTTTATTTGTTTAAAGATATATTTTAATCGCCAGTTCTAGAAGAGTAGGAAAAAAATAAAAATTACTCTTAAAGTTAACATATTTTCAGGAAACAATAACAATTTTTACTATTGTTGTTCTATTATATTGTTGTTGATGGACCTTGAAATAATGATAAGCTTGATACTAGAGACACCGTAATATAGTAGTTCAGACTGCAGCTTTCTCTCCACAAAGAAAGTATTGAATACAAGAATTTAGAGTGTGACCCTGCATACTTCTCTTAAACATTTTCTCTAAGATGTGCAAAATTGGAGCCTGGAGTTATCATTTGACTCTCCACATTCATCTAACCACAGAAGAAAAAAGCATAGATTAAGAACTTGAAAGGAAATTAATAAATTGCAGTTAAATTTTAAACATGGATTTCCAGAAAAAAATGGGAATAGAAATACATTTTAATGGATGTTAGTAAATCAGAAGAACTGAAGCAACCTTACAATTTAGGAAAATCAAACTCAAATATAAACAAGCCTTTATCTTTAAACAGTTAAAATGCTATATGTGGTTCTTTGACATAACAACTACTCAAGCCAGGTATGATCATATTTTACAGATTCTGTTTTTCAGGCCAATTTCCATTTCTCTTCAGATGATCTCCTACTTGAACCATAACATTTTGAACACTAGCTGTTTGTAAAACTTCTTTTGGTCCAATGCCATCAGTGGCCTAGAATGTGAAGGACTGTAGAACTCTAAAGCACAACCCGCAGATCACAGTTAATCACCAACTGGCACTAGTATCAGATTCACACAAATGCATGGCACTGTAATGCCTCAGTACAGCGCTGCAGCCTTCCACTTTAAGTCTTCAGCCTTCTGGAGTGATGAAGGGTGAGGCATAAAGCCTCCCTGGGAACCATGACAGTAGAAGGTGTAAGTTACCCTTCACTGTAGATACACGCACCACTTTCACATACAGCAAAACAAAAGTGTTCCCTCATTTGTGCTCCTAGTCAAGGACTACCAAGAAATTTGCACTGAAATACACCATGATGCCATTTGGGAATAACAGCTTTAGAAAACCACACATGTAGCATAAAATTTAGCATTACTAATTTGCTTCCATAACTTTCTCTTTACAGCTCCACTAGACCAGTTACATGCTGCCTTGATTCTTTTATTTACTTTCAAACACATATCACCCTATGAAGTGGATGCTGGCAGCTGAGGCATCCATTTTCTAGGCATTACTCTACCAAAATCAACAAAATAGTCAGTGGGTTATACCACTAAACTAAACACCATATATTAAATCTACACACTGCAAGTTGCATTGCAAAAAGAATGTGCCTTTTACACCTTCATTACTGCTAGCATCCCTCTTCCCCTTAAAGATAATATGCAGGGATATATATATACACACATTAAATGAGTATTTATATACTGGAGTATTTGTATAACAGAGAAGCCTGTGGGACCACAGCAGGTTCCCCAAGTATAAGTCAGCCACAACTTTGCAATGTGGTTATTGGCTGAAATTAAACAGAAAAAAATATTTCTGTTGGATTTTGATTTTATTGAAAGCTTTAAAAATATCTTGGAGCCTTAAAAAAAAGGGGGAGGGTTATAGAATTTGGGAGTAATTTTACATGGCTTTGCAACCAACAGAATGCCACATTATTATGTTATGGGTTTTTTAGTAATGAAAAAAATAATTCATTTAAGCAAAGGAAATCTGTTCTTCCAAATGTGTATTTAGATTAATAAGGAAATATTCAAATTTGACTTTTATATTTCAAATAACTCATATTGGTTTAATCCCTTTGAAGAATAACATGGAAGCATTTTCTCATCCTGATACATTCAGTGTTCCAAAAGAACTGCTAGGAATGATGTCAGCATGTTTCATAAGTTAACAGATGCCTGCAGTCATTTATATCAGACACTTTCGATATTCAAATAAAGAATGCTAATATAACACTCTGAAATTTGTATTGTTATGTGTCCTTGTATGAATTTATTTTGACTTAGAATTCCTAAAACCAATTGCAAATTCTTAGCAATATTCCATATACAGTACTTGGGGATGTTGTACTGAATGGATATATTAATTGTACTCTCAGCTTTCAAGAGGTCTGTCTTATCCCTTACTACTTTTCATCTAATTGAAAATGCTTGCATATTCATAGCATTATAAGCATAATAAATGTTACAGCATCTATCAGCAATTAAAAAAAAAAAAAAAAAAACCAAAACACTGCAAAATATGTTTAAGGTACACTTCACTTTGATTTATGTGACACATGCAGTTCTGGAGCTATGAGACTTTTCTCTGAATGTACTGCAGTTTTACCCTCCTAGCACTCTCTCTGGGACTGATCCAAATCCCATTTCTTCAATGAGCTTTGGATCAGATCTAGATATGCATAGCTCAGAAGTAATTTTTATTCTCTGGATGTAGTGCAGATCCCTATACAGAAAATAAACACTGCATGCTCTCTCCTATGGAAAATATATATTTGTTCTTTCTTATTTTGCTCTTTTCATAAGCTAAATGTAGGTCATTCAGACTAAAGGTATATGGTTGCTCTTTATGGATAGAGAAATCTAACACTTCCACAGGGCGTGAGACCAAACACTGAGTAACTGTAATCACTTGAGAAATGTAATAGCTGTGTGCTGTGTCTTACGGCTATTATGAAATGGAACTTATACCTAAAAATGAGGAAAACAGTTAGCTTTCTCCATTTATGGAGCTATGCCCCAGTTATGACATAATTCATAGCCAGACAGAAATTTCCAGTTGTATCCATAGACATTTCATAACTCAGTGTAGTGGAAAACTGATATTGAAGAAAGATTTTTGCCAAGTAAAGTTATTCATACACAAGCTTCCTTCTCATGACAGCTTCCCCACTGTACTGCAGAGAACTGCTGGAACTCTGCCTTTGGACCAGCACTTTCCACACCCACACTGAAGGTTTATGTCCTGAGATGAGAGGCTTCTTGTCCCCTGTGCTCTCCTTCTTAACCTTACTACCTTACTACCCCTCAGTTTTCTGCAAAGAATTTTCTACTTGTTTTTCTACAATAAGTTCATAAATGGTGGATCTTCACAATGTTTCCTCCATGACTGCAAGAATTTAATGATCATCTGGGGCTTGGGTGCATTTTTCAACTTCCCTTGTTACTTTTCTTAAACAGCTGCAGTTATCAGGAGTGAAAATAATTCAGATCATCCATTTTTCCTTCCAGGACCAGAAAAAAGTCAAAAAGAGAAAAGAATAAAACAGGAAACAGCTCATGAGCAAACTCCTTACTTCTTGCTGTTAAAGGCAACAGCAACAAAGTAAAAAAACAAAACAGAAAATCCCAACCAAAGAAAAAAAACCTTAGTTTGATGCCCATGCAAATATGATTTGCTTCTGGTATGTAGGAATCTAGAATCTAGAAAATCTTGCAGAGGCTTTTCTCAATATTAAAAAATTGGCAATCACGTGTACTGTTTATCTTGTATACATTGGAGGTATTTATCCTTACCTTTGGCTTAATTTCCTGTCCTCAGAAATTACTTAGATTGGACTAAGCCTCAGATGATTTAATAATCTCCAAATTCCCTCCAGTTGCAGTGTGACCCTTTGTAGAGGTAAATATGATGCACAGAATAACTTAATATTAATCACAAGAGTATGCCTGAGGTAGCTTTTATATTACATCAGGAATGTTACATAAACTACTTATTCTTTGAACTTTTCTCAAAAATTACATCATTCTGCTGATCTGATGTGCTACTCAGAATATGTCTAACCAAAAAAAGGGTGGTAGCAGCTAGTATATGCAGAGGTCTCTGAGCTGCCATAAGCCTGCTGCCACATGTCCAAAGAAACTATTGCAGACAGAGTCCCTCTCCTGCCCTTTGTGCCCTGGGATGCAAGAGGAATGTCCGAGTTGGAAGACCAAAATGTCAACTTTCGGACAAGATTTCTGACAGCTTTGAAATGACGTTTCAGTCCTCTGGAATCCTTCATGAATGGCCACAGTCAAATATGCAAGAGAGACTTATGTCTAGAAATCTGCCTCTTAGTTGGATTCAGACATGTTGGTCACGGGCAAAGGTGTCGGAGCACAGCGAGAGGGGCTGCTCCATGGGGAAGGGGTAGGGGACTGGTGGCAGCCAGTGGACAGGGCCATGGCCCCAGAAGGAACGGTGCTGTCCTGCAACACCCATCAAGGTGGGCAGCGGACAGTAACCACCGGTGGCTGAGGGTTGGAGATCACCAGGTGAGCATGCCAGAACAAGGCAGGTCCACAGGCAGAGGCTGAAGAACCCAGGGGGCCCTTCGCATCCTGGCAGCAGGTCTGTGGCAATGGGAGTAACACAAACACAAGACTGCTCTTTAACCAAGGATGTCTTAGAAAGAGTTTAAGAAGAAGGCCAAAGGGAGTTTCGTCAAACTGATAGATTTTGTAGTGTTTTGGTAGGTGTTTGATTTGTGGGAACATTAGATGCATTAAAATTATGCTTCATAACTAGAAGGTTTTAGCTTTAGTAAAGAAAGAATGAAAAGGAGGTTGGAAGGGTGTGAAGCTATGGAAGCAGTCAATGTCTCGCTTCTTGTAGGCAGAGATGACCGCCTAGTTCACCTTCAGGTAGGCATGGAGGAACCACATCGTGTTACCCAAACACATCAGCCCAAACAAGAGGTGGTAAATATGTGCCTCTACTTGCTGTACTTCTATCAATGCTGTTGCTCCTCCAACTCTGAACTCATGTTGACACCAAGTTTCCCACCTGCAAGCACTGCAAGACCTTTGCAATCTTCCGCATTATTGGCATCTAACAATATGACGAAACTCAGCAACTTAAAACCATATAGTTTCAAGTCTGAGATATATTTTTCCTCTCATGAGGTCTTAGAAACTGAGGCAGAAACATACATCTTCTATGGAACATTTATGATTTTTTAAATTAATTGCTTAACTTAAGCATATTCACCTGTAAATAATTACTATGGTTATTAAATATTGTTTAATAATATCAAACATTATATATTTAGCCACTTATGTTGATTCTTTTTACAGACTCTAGTTATTATTGTAATAGTTTAAATAGGATATGAGTCAGGCTGTAGAGCCTCTACTAAATGCTACATTATTTAAATGTGTTGTGTGCCATATTACTATTAGCACGAGGTGCTATTTCATAAAGACAGGAATTACTTACAGCCACTCTAACAAGAAGTTCAGTATGCAAGTCCATTACTACAGCAAAATGTACAATTGCATAGCAATTAGGATAAGCTGGTACACTTGGATTGAAGGGAACTTCTTTTACAGTGAGCTGTATGAAGCAAAACAGGTTAACAGAATTCAACAATGACCTGCTCCAGCCTTTTATTCCATAGTATTCTTTATACTTACAAACACAAAGAAGATTAAGGGACATAGATAATTGCACAAAGATAATCTACTACCAAACTGACGTACTACCTAGTGTGAGACAGAGTGTAACTCCATGTGTGTGTGTATGTTCACAGCTAAAAGAAAAAGATAAATTACTGTACTCAATAGAACAATTTTGAAAATCTCTTTAGGAAATTAATAATGAAAAGATAAATAAAAAATATATTTTTTTTCCTTCAAACAAAAAGAGAAAAAAACAGCTAAAACATTAATTTCCTTCAGTTTCTGCTGCCATTTCATCTTCCCCTATGCTTTATGACTGCTAATTTGCTAATTTAAAATAGCATGTGTAGAGTTTTTAACATTGATCCAGTAGCATTAGGAGGTCCAAGTAAATTACACAAAATTGAAAGCCTGGGCATGTTCTGTTTACCACTGGGATTTCCTCAGGAAGGCCAAGTCTAGGTTTGCCTGGTCCCCAGCCTGGCCCTTTGAATATGACAGAAAGCTTATTGCAGAATCCAGGTGTGGTCCAAAATGTGTTCCAAATATGAGCCAAGTGACGTAACTGAAAAAAAGAGAGCAAGCAATTTTTCATCGTTAGTAAAAAAAAATTTAATTAAACATTATATTTTATTAATTTTTATCTCTGAAGTAAATTATTTTTTAAAGTCTGTAGAGAGGATAAATTAGGAATAGATGAAGACAGTCATAAATTCAGAAAACCTGACTGAAATAGGCAGGAGCCATATCAAGCCCCTGGCTTATAGTGAGGATTACAATTACTTCTGCCTAGAGGAGAATCTGCCTCTCCTGTAATCAATCCAGAGTATTCAGTGGTACATTGTATAGCTATACTTATGGCAGTTTTAAACTAGAATTTGGTTATTGGGACCTTGACATAACATACCCTCAATAATTAATTACTTTGTAGCTGACTGGAATGGATATAACTGCACAGGCTGTGGTCATCCTTCCAGCCCAGACATCCCTGCAAGTAGAATTTCTCACTCTTTAAGATGCCTCCTTGGGTAAACAATCATGAAAAGCAACTGTAATCTTCAGTATTCCTCTGTCCTCAGTGTTTTTACAGATAATTTTTGTCCAGTTCAAGTAACACCTGTACTAATAAATCTAGGAAGCACCACACTAAGTACTTTTACTTCTTTTTTTCTTTTTCTTTTTTTTTTTTTTTTTTAATTAAAAAACGATACTCAGCCTGTTCTGGAGACTTTGTTGAGACCATGATGGCTGCTATATAATGCTGTCAACACAAATAATTCTGGAGTACCTTGAAAGCAAATATGCAGAAGAGGTAAAAATAGCAAAGATATTAAACCATCGGATTATTTACAAAATAGTAATATTTAGAGAAAACAAACAACAGATTAAAAATACATTTTTGTCTGTGTTTCACTGCATATTGCTCTGCATATGGCAAAATGGACACCATTCAGTCCAAGGCCTGTTATATTGCCATTGTAATTAGTTGATAATTTTACTGTATTGTATTTTCATGATGACTACAAGCTCTGCATATGCTCAATGCAGTGAATAGAAATAATTGTTTTGTAATGAAATACTGCAGAAATTGTAGATAATTTAATGGACTGTGCAGCAATGCAAGGATGGCCTCAACTGTGCCTAAGAGAGGAGTTTCTTTTGAACATGAATGACTGCTGAAGATATCAACCGGTGATACAAACTATAGCTCCTGGAACATGATGGGATCAAATTAATTTACTGGACGTGTTAAGCCATATACAACTTTTGCATCTTCTGCTGCACATGTTCCTGATGGAAGAGGGAAAAAAAAAAAAAAAAAGAAAATCAATGATCAAACTAAAAACTATAGATATTTTTGCCACACTAACTAAACATGAGAGAGAACACCTGTTTTTTACTTACCAAATATCCTGTCCCAGATAATGAGCGTGCCGCCATAATTGTTGTCAATGCAGGAAGGATTTCTACCTATAATAAAAATCACTTATGAAACCAGTAATTGCATATATAAGAATACATGCAACTGAATTATTAAAGGAAATCTGCATAATTATCATCAATTTATAATCTAAAAATATTTTTAAAAGGAAGCTAACCTACCACTCCTTATATGTCTACAAAATTTCTTTTTCCTTACTAGGCTTATTGCTTTCTTTCTACTCAGATTCAAACATACAAATCAAATGCGTCATACCCAAAATTTCTGTGAAATAGAAGGATTCATTTGGAGAGCAAAGTCATTTCAAAATGCATTTATAGAGACAAATTAAAAACAAACAAACAAAAAAAAATTTCACCAATTTATACCTAAGAAAAGATATGTGAAATTCCTTTATGTGCAACCATGTCATTAATGGCTTTCAGCTGTCTTTATCTTCTGTGCCAATGTCTGGTTCTGCCTTCATTATGATTAACTTCAGTGTGAGGAAAACTGATGCTTCTATCTGTTTTCTAGGGAATGTCTTTGCATATAAGCTGTCCTATCAAAGGAATTCACCTAGAAAAGCTCGTGGCTTAGACAGGAACACCCTTTG